TCTGAGAAACTGAAAATTATGTAAAAAGACCAAAAATATGAAAGGTTGGGGTACCTGTCCTGAACAAAATGGGAAAAGTTTTGATGGAAAGGAAGAGAGACAGGTTTCAATAAAGCCCTAGACACAGCAGCCTGAGGATCCCTGTAAAACTGAGTATAGGGTGGAGGTGGAGTGGATGTTTAATAGGGGAGAGAAATTGACTCTCTTCACAATTTTGCTTCCATTAATACCTAAACCCTGGGGCTCCATTTCAGTTTCCAGTAGGCCTATGTTGGAAACTCACCTCCAAGGTACAAGTTTCCCTGGCACACCACCAATTACATAATGGTCTTTTAAAAACAAGTCAACTTTGGTACCATCTACTCAGCAGGAATATACCTTCCTTACCTGGTACCTCCCTCATTCTTAGAATTAAAGAAAAAAGGTCGGGCGCGGTGACTCACGCCTGTAATCCCAACACTTTGGGAGGCCGAGGCGGGTGGATCATGAGGTCAAGAGACGGAGACCATCCTGGCCAACATTGTGAAACCCCATCTCTACTGAAATACAAAAATTAGCTGGGTGTGATGGCGCGCACCTGTAGTCCCAGCTACTCGGGAGGCGGAGGCAGACTTGAACCCGAGAGGTTGCCGTGAGCCGAGATCGTGCCACTGCACTCCAGACTGGCGTCTGGCGACAGAGCAAGACTCTGTCTCGAAGAAAGAAGAAAAAAGGCGAATCGTAACGTGCCTTCTACTCACTTTCCTCTCTATTCACTTACTAAGGCCACATCTTACGTCTGCTGTTCTTTTTTCCATACTACTCTCTCAACTCCTTTCATATCTGCGATAAATTTAAGGTCGTTTGGGTTCCTCTCATTTAAAAAGTTCAACAGAAGTGTCTTGCAACACCTTAAAGTTTAGGGCTAAGCTCTTTAGCGTTTCTTTACCCACTTCCTCCGCTCAATTCTTCTAACCATTGAAATGAAGGCTATGAATATCTCGTCTTAGCACGGTGCCAGGCATGCAGGTGTTCGAACAAATCTTAAATGAATCTTAGCTATTAGATAACAGCATTGTCTGTAAAACTCAGAAATTTCTTAAAAATCGATTCCTAAAATTTAAAAAGCTCGTAAGTTTTTTAGTCTGCAATTACAATTCCTGAAATCTTCTTCTATTCATGAAAGACTACGAAATTCTAAAAAGCGACATAAAGCGTAAAAAGCCACTCGGAGGTTTGCGAAATTTACCATGTTCTGTCTTCTTTTAATTCATTCATAATCTGTCAGGATACAAGGAGCAAAACTAGTTTGCGTTGTACCTTAGAATTGAGTAGTTACACACTCACTAGGTTTCAGAATCGTTAAAAATTTTATCTTGTTTAGGAAACTGCTTACCTTGGAAGGGCAAATTGCCATTTCTCGCCATCTGGGCACCAGAGACGCAAGGGAAGCCCCACTAAACATCACTTCCACGCCCCCATATTATGCTAAGGAACGTCTAGTTGACTCCTTAGGCATTTCAGCAGTGTTTTTGGCCGGTACTAGGAACTGAGGAGAGGTTTAGAAAGGGACCAAGTGCAGAGTCCCGGCCCCAAAGAGGTTACGATGCAAATAGACGCAGGCTCGGAACTCAGAACAAAAGCGGTGACTGCATAATAAGGCACTGCTGGGGGTGGGGGATGGGGAGCTGCACGCAGGTTGTTACTTCAGGAAAGCAGTTTCCAGGCAGGGAGAGTTTAAGCCAGACCTGAAAGAGGTTGATTTGTAATGATTTGCAGGAGGCCACTGGAGGCAGCGGCCAGGATTTGCACTTAGGAGATCAACGTGTCCCGTGGTGGAAAAGTGGGAGGTCATACAGGGACTGGCTTCTGAGTGTCCAAAGGTCTACCTGGGGAAAGACTGATTTTGAGGTTTTAATAGGTAAGTTTGGGGACATCATTGATGAAGGTGGGCAGGGAAGGAGGCTTCTTTTTTTTTTTTTTTTTAACATTAGAGTAAAAAACTTAGATTCGATGAGATGGGTAAAACACAAATAGGAAAATTTAAGGGGAAGAATGATTATGATTGTTATGTAAAAATAAACTTGCAATAGAGAGGTTCTGGAACTCAGGAAATGAGCTAGAGCATGCTATAATTAAGGCCTAGCTAGTGAGGATCAGGAATAAAATGGTAGCTGAGGAAATTTCAAAGTTGAATAAGCAGTAATAAGTATGAAAAAAAAAAAAAAAAAAAAGCTAAACTACAAACATCTGCTCCTTAATTACTAACACTAGAAAAGAGAATTTCTTGTCTCTTCTTCCCACTCCGCACCTCTTCCTAGCTTACGTGATTGTATTCAAGGCATTTTATTGAAGACACTGTTCAGCACTCTCCACCTTATCCCTTACACAGCCTGCCTTTGCTTTTCTTCCCATTTCACTCTTTCTCTTCATTTATTCACATCATTTTAGTCCTTAAAAGACCCCTCCCAATTACTAGATCAGAGGGAGGCAAACTAAGACTCTTCATATCTCCCAAATGACCTTCCAGAATGGCTTTATGGCATTATAATTGGAACGCAAGAGTTTTTCTTTTTCTTTTATTAATATTTTGCTTGCAAGGAATTACAGGAAAACCCCTATTGCATGCCAGAAATACTTACATTTTAAATATTTCATCTTAAGAGATGACTTCATGTAATGCTTTTAATGCATTTTAGAAATTCAGGTGGTGGGCAAAAGTACAAGACAGGAGTTAGATGTTTTGAGTGGGAGGAGTACACTGGGGCCATTATTGAATCAGAATTATTATGCACTTCAATATATAGAAAAAAAGAATGAAATGAGTATTAAATTATGCAAATTTATCCCTTATCTTGAATCTTTATTTGCATGACTACATTTTAAGCAGTTGTAACCTTCGTACATATTTGCTATTTTTTCAAGTATGAATTGATTAGACACTATTGCTATTTTGTTATCTATTTTGTTGACATAAGAACTTCCTGTGTTACTATGTCAGATCTTTGCTATATTGTTATTTATTTTGTTAATATAAGAACTTCCTGTGTTACTGTGTCAGATTTTTTTTTTTTTTTTTTTTTTTTTTTTTTTTTTTTTTTTTTTTTTTTTTTTTTTTTTTTTTTTTTTTTTTTTTTTTTTTTTTTAATGGAGCTTCACTCTTATTGCCCAGGCTGGAGTGCAATGGCGCCATCTTGGCTTACTGCAACCTCCGCCTCCTGGGTTCAAGCGATTCTCCTGCCTCAGCCTCCCGAGGAGCTGGAATTATAGACTCCCGCCACCACGCCCAGCTAATGTTTCATATTTTTAATAGAGACCGAGTTTCATTATGTTGGCCAGGCTGGTCTCAAACTCGTGACCTCAGGCGATCCACCCGCCTCCGCCTCCCAAAGTGCTGGGATTACAGGCGTCAGCCACCGCGCCCGACCTCGCCATCAGATTTTAATTAGTCATTTCCTTTTAGTTAGAATCCCGCCCCACACCTCCCCGCCTTCAGTTTTTCAGTGTTTGGATAATATGCTGTGAATACCTTTGAGCACCCATTTCTTTATTCAGCTCATACCACTGAAAGATACTACTCATAATAAAATTGTTGAAGAAAAGATAGGAACCATTTTATAGCTTGTCTTACACATTGCAAAATTTTGCACTGTATTGATGTATTATTAACTTTGCATCTTTGTCTCTTTTTAAGCTCTCCTTGGAGAGTTTTTACATTTTCAGTATGCTCCACAGGGTGGCCAAAGTAGAACTGGCTCATCATTGAGCATAGGTTCAGCTAAAAACAATCTGACTCAGAGCTGAGCAAAAAGAATCCAATAAATATTAATGGATTAACTTTCAGGTACCTCAGCCTTGACTTGCCTGGAAGATTTCGCCTCCTTGATCTATTTCTTCTCTTTCTTTTCGGTATCTACTTCATTATTTAAATGGGCAATTTCGGGTTAGGCAGTTCTGGATAGCAGTCCCTATCCTGTGCCCGTTCTGGAACCTCTCTCGCCTTTTTTGCTATGCAAGGAAGCCCAATTCACAGTCGTCATCGCCACTAAAGTTACACCAGGGGTCATCTCAAGAAGGAAACGTTTTCTGTGAGAATTTCTATGCAAGTGAATTGGGGAAGGCTTTAAAGATAACGGAAGTGGCACGCGTTTCTCCCAAACAATTCGACGCTGTGTACATCACAGAAATTCCGGGAAAGACTAACGACGTCCGTGGATGATTCTGCGGCTCACAGGCACACAGGGCACACTGGGTTTACCCTCCCCCGCCCCGACGACCACCACAGGTGCGAAGCCCGCCCGGGTAGGCAGCGTTTGCTGTCCCCGCAGACCGGGTGCGGGGGCGGGGCCTGCCGCGCGTCACCGCTGTCGTAGCCGCCGGACCGGGTCTCCGCGGCCGCGGAACCGGGGGACTAGGGGCCAGGGTGAGCGCCAAGATGGCCGCCCCGGCTCGGGCTGGTGAGTGTGCTCGAGGGCGCGCGGCCGCGGCGATTGGCTGAATGGGGCCGCCTGCGGGAGCGGATGTGCGACGGCGGCCCCCGGGGCCGGGAGGCACCTGGGGGCGTGTTCCCGCCGCGCGGGGCGCTGGGGGGTCCTGAGGGAGGGGGAGACAGAGGCTGCGGGCGCGCTGAGGGGAGCCAGCCGAGGGGCGCGCGGCGGCTGCAGGTCCGGCGATTTTTGAATTGGCACCCCTGGGAAGTTTCGGTGGGTTCTGCGGCGCTCCGGCCCTGTCCCGGCGGCCACCTCACGAGTGCCCGGAGATGCAGCTGGCTGGAGGGGCGGGCTGGGGAGAAGGAGCGCGGGCGGGGGCTTGGGGGACGCGGAGGGGCTGCGCGCTGACCCCGGCCCCGGCGTTGCGGGGCTGGCGCGGGCTGGGCGCTGTGTGGAGCACGCACTGCCCGGGTCCAGCCGCACCCTCCCTGCCGCCGGGATTACAGTGAGGTGATGCTCTAAGCCCCGGGGCGCTTCGGGCGGGCGGTTCTGGCGCTTGGTTTGGAAGGAATGCGCGTCCGGGCGTCTTGCCCGCCTACTCTCCATCGATCGGTCCCGGCACCTGCTGCAGCTTAAGATCCCAATGCGTGAAAATCCACTTCCTAAAACTATTCCCGATAGCCTTCGATGAGAAAAAAATGCCATGTGACTGAATTCATTACGTGGGATATGAAACCTGTCAGTGTGGGCGGAGGGGAACCTGTTAGTATGTTAAATTTTAAGAGTAGGTAAGACACCATCCCTTGCCCCCAGGAAAAAAGAAAGTGAAACATAGTAATCGTTTCAAAACAAGTTTCAGCTGTTAAATTCTACTGATAGCTGGATAATTTCTTGGTTTTAATATTAGAAGCAAAACCATTTAGGAATTCTTGGGAAATTCACTTTTTTCCTCAGACTCCCGCCACCTTTTAAATCTTAATTTAAAAAAAAAAAAATCTTAATTTTTTCCTCAAGTCCCCCACTCCCGCCACCTTTTAAATCTTAATTTTTGTCTCTGGGAAAGAAACGGGGATTGTGAAATTAGCATGGAAATAAGACCTTCAGGTCCTGCACTTGAATCCCTTATTATCTGTTAAGTAGCTGCCTGTGGGGGTGAAAGTGACTTTTGGGGCCTGGAATTCCATTTTGAGTTGTGTTCAAAACGAGCATTTGCTGTAAACAAGGAGAAAGAATGGGCTGTTCACTGTGGTGAAGTTCGGAAAGCCAAATAGGAGTTAAGCACAGGTTTATTTCATAATCTCAATGAGATTCAATATTCCGTTGCCTTGAAAGAGATGAAAGTTTGTATTCTTGGAACCCTAATCGTTTTGTTCTTAATTCAGCATTTCGGGATATTTGAAAGAGCTTTTAAACGTTTTGGCACTTGCAGGTTTTCTCTCTCCATTCTAGTGTTTTTGGTACTAGCCATTAGTTTTGCATATGTTCGATGTCAAATATTTTAGTCCAGTATTTATCACTGTGGACTATCCAAATTCAAATGTGGAGATATTCTAATATCAAAAAATTAGTCCAGTGCATACAATTTAGAAAGTTGAAATGTTTTGACTACTTTGTATATCAGTCTTGTTTTTCTTCCCAAATGTTAATTGAGATTTTTTAGCTCAAAAAAGTTTAAATGATAAGTGAACCCACATTTAGTGTAATATACAATGGTACACCTTTTGGAATACTTAAAATAGAAAATCTGTTGAAGATTTGGGTTAGATATTTGAAATAAATTTTCTACCTAGTTGTCTTTCTCCTTTTTTTACAGACTTTTCTGTACTACAAAGAAAGAAAAAGTGTCATACACTCAACCAAATTTTCCTCTACACATTTGAATCTTACTATTACAGCGTTTTGGTTCTGCATAAGAGAATTTTCTGCTCATTGGGTTGTTTGAAGACAGAGTCTGTGTTTTATTTGTGTATCTCTAGTACCTGACTGCTTAACATGGCGGAAAAACCCCTGTGAAAGTTTGTTGAATTGGGGTTTTGAATGGTAGAGGTACAAAAGTTTGGCTTCTTGGTAGCCCAAAAAAGAAAAAAAAGTGCTTTGAAGTTTCCTGTCCTTCCTGCAGTGTTAAGACAGAATAAACGTGGGTGCCAGATTCTAATGGAGTTGTCTGGTCCAGGGAGATTACCGAGAGGCTGGGGCATGGGCTCAGGAGTATCAAGACAGGAGATAAATCATGTGCCTGAATAATTCTCTGAATTCAGTAATGGGGAACAGTTTTGCTATTAGGCCCAGGCTAAATAGGTGACAAATAACTGAAATATATGAGGATTCTACAAATAATGGCTTTCTGGCTAAAAGATCATCGTAAAGGTGTAACTGATATTCACAGCGATTTTAGACCCATAGAAAACTTTATTAGGAAGAATTCATTATTAATGGAGTTTTACACATCATAGGAAAAAGCTATTTTATAGTCTAACGATATGCTTGTTAGGCTAGATCATAGATGTGCTAGAATGACAGAGTCTAGGCATTTTATACACAGAATATTTGAATTCAATTTTTGAGACCCATGGTAGGATGCTCAGTATTTTTCTGTTTCTCCCATTGTTATGAAGTTAGCTGGAGTAGATTGACGTGTAAATATGTTGATGTCTCACTAATGATAACTGTTTTGGAACAAAATTACTTCTTAGGTAGGAATGAGGTGAGAAATCCAAATAACCTGGAGGCAGAAATTACTTTCAGGAGCTTTATCTTACAACGGGTTCAACTAGATTCAGTCTCTGCTGCAGAAGAGGCATGTTAGAGACATGAGGAAGGCCCGAGGGAAAAGGTTGTCCTTTATTGTTTAATGAGTTTCAAGCGAGATCGGGGTAATTATAGATTCTAGATCTCTAAAGGAAGAAAGAATAACCAGGGCCTTTCTAGGGATAAAGGAAAGGAAATACATCATGATTGACATGGAGAGGTGCCAAAGCACATAATGGACATAATAGCAAACCTAAGAGGGAGTAGGGAGGGTTTGAGAGCCCATTGTGTTCATTCGTTGAGTAATTTGTTCATTCAAAAATATTGAACCCCTTTCTGTGTACCAAGCACTATGCTTGACCCTTGGCATTTTACAAACATTTCTTAAGAGGATAGAGTACTATGGTGGTTCTGTGAATTAAATGGAAAATGGAAAACTGCTTATAGGAATGGGTAAGATTTACCCTAATTACTACAAACTATGGGTAAAGTTGTTTTCATTTTTATTCAAATGCATTGTGGTGGTTAGTAATTCCTAAGGCCTACTTCCTATCGACCATTTCCTCTTATCTTTTATTATGGAAAATAACAAATTATACAACTTTTAATAGGGGATCTGTTTAGTGTGTTACTGTTTAAAGAAAAATGTTTTGTTACAGAAATTATCTTCATTAAAATAAAATAGGCAACATATTCTCCCTCTAGGAGACTTCAAGATTTTTTTTTTAATGAGATGCTTGCTGTGACACTTTTATTTTAAAATTTATTCTATTTTATGCCCAGTGGTACTTATATTTCTTCTTTCTTTAATGGAGGTAGAATGTATATGTGTTTGTGTAAAATATGCATGCCCATTTCTTATGAAAATAGTTTATATCCTGATTATGAAGAGTTTTAAAAATTAAACATTCACAGTAAGATTTGTTAAAAACGTCTTAACAAAAGATGTTTGAAAAGTGGTTCATCATATATGAGAGTAGAAAAGTATATATTGTTGCAAAGTTTAAAGGCTTTTATGTGCCACTTTAAGAAGTTTAGATTTAGCTTGTGGTCTTTCAAGACTTTAAACAATCTTAATGTTTATAAAATTACGGCTATTTTAGAAATAGCTTAATATTTATAAAATTGTGATTATAAGACACTAAGATATAAAATGTAAATATTGTATGATGATTATTTGACTAAGTATGAGCTATGGTGGGGAAGCTTCTTAGTGAATGAAAATGTTATCTCAGTGTCTATTCAGATTTTAACATATAGATTCTTTTTTTCTTTATTTTCTCACACTACACAGCTGTATACATTAATTCTTTTTAGGAATGCATTTTAGCCATTTCCCTCATTCTGTCACTTTATTAAATAGTAATTTAATCTGGCTGTTTTTTGTTTTTGTTTTTGTTTGTTTTTGATGTTTATTCTTCATGGTAACTTCCTGACATGTATTAAATTGTTGTGGTTTTTTTGTTTTTTGTTTTTTTTGAGACGGAGTTTCGTTCTTGTTGCCCAGGCACTCACTGCAACCTCCACCTCCCAGGTTCGAGCGATTCTCCTGCTTCCGCCTCCGGAGTAGCTGGGATTACAGGTATGTGCCACCACACCCAGCTAACTTTTTGCATTTTTAGTAGAGACGGGGTTTCTCCATGTTGGTCAGGCTGGTCTTGAACTCCCTAGCTCAGATGATCTGCCTGCCTCGGCCTCCCAAAGTGCTGGGATTACAGGCATGAGCTATTGCACCCGGCCTTATTAAAATATTTCTTAAAGAAGGAATCTGAAAATTGAGTTACTAATTATACCAATTATATCTATATTATATTATTCATACCATTGACATCTGGTACCTGATACCCTCCTGTAAGAACCTCCAGGGCCTACAGCTGTATAGTCCCATTCCATGTTTTCTTTCAATGTGTCTTAATAAACTGAGGTAGAAAGGAAGTGGCTGGCTGAAAAGTTTGTTATGTCAAAGATAACTAAAATTTACAGTAGAATGTTCGTTTTTGAAGTAAAAAAATTTAGCCACCCTTCTGATTTTTCAGTGATTCTTGTAGCTTTCAAGTAGCTGGGGACTATAGGCATGTACTGCCACATGTGGATTTTTAAAAATTATTTTAATAGTGATGAGATCTCATTATATTGTTGGGAAAAAATCCCTCTTTTTAAACTAGAGGCAAGGTCTTGCCATGTTGCCCAGTTTGGGCAACTTACTGTTTCTTTTCTTTCTTTCCTTTTTTTTTTTTTTTTTCGGCAGTGTCTGTCACCCAGGCTGGAATACAGTGGCATGATTTCTGCTCACTGAGGCTTCTGCCTCCCAAGTTCAAGCAATTCTCCTGCCTCAGCCTCCAGAGTAGCTGGGACTACAGGCATGCACCACCATGCCTGGCTAATTTTTGTATTTTTAGTAGAGACAGGGTTTCACCATATTGGCCAGGCTGGTTTCCACCCGCCTCAGCCTCCCAAAGTGCTGGGATTACAGGTGTGAACCACCGTGCCCAGCAGGACTTACTGTTTTCAACCTCTGCTTTTTTTGTTTTTTGTTTGTTTGTTTTTTGAGACAGAGTCTTGCTCTGTCACCAAGGCCAGAGTGGAGGGCCACGATCTCGGCTCACTGCAACCTCCACCTCCCAGGTTCAAGCGATTCTCCTGCCTCAGCCTCCTGAGTAGCTGGGATTACAGGTGCGCGCCACCATGCCCAACTAATGTATTTTTAGTAGAGATGGGGTTTCACCATATTGGTCAAGCTAGTCTTGAACTCCTGACCTTGTGATTCGCCCACCTCAGCCTCCCAGTAGCTGAGTTTACAGGTGTCCACCACTACGGCCGGCTAATTTTTGTATTTTTAGTAGAGACAGGGTTTTCACCATGTTGGCCAGGCTGATCTCAAACTCCTCAGATGATCCACCCACCTCGACCTCCCAAAGTGCTGGGATTATGGGCATGAGCTACTGCGCCTGGCCTGTTTTCAACCTTGGATTCAAATATAAAGAGAATGACCTGCAGTTAATGCTAATTGGTTGCTCCAAGAATTTGGTAGCCTGAAACAATATGGCTATATATCTATACAGTCTTCATAAAGCCCTGAGAGAAGTTTTAGGTGAAAAGATGATGTTTGGGATATAGTCTTTTCTTGACCATAAGGAGCCTACCCAACAATTAGGTGACAGAGTAAGGATGTGTGCACACATAAATAAGGATTCACATTTGGCAAGTGGCATAATATTGGCACAATCCAAAGTACTTTAAGAAATTAGAGAAGGCTGGGCATAGTGGCTCATTTCTATAATCCTAGCATTTTGGAAGACCAAGGCAGGAGGATCACTTGAGGCCAGGAGTTTGAGACCAGCCTGGGCAAAATGGTGAAATCTCATCTCTACAAAAAATATAAAAGTTAGCCAGGCATGGTGGCATCCGCCAGTAATCCCAGCTACTTGGGAGACTGAGGTGGGAGGATCACTTGAGCCTGCAACAACGGAGGTTGCGGTAAGCCAAGATCACGCCACTGTCATCCAGCCTGGGTGCCAGAGTAAGACCCTGGGTCAAAAAAAAGAGGAGAAAATATTATTTATTTTTCTTTTTTTTTGAGATAAAGTTTCACTCTTGTTGCTCAGCCTGGAGTGCAATGGCGTGATCCCGGCTCACTACAATCTCTGCCTTGCAAGTGATTCTCGTGCCTCAGTCTCCCAAGTAGCTGGGATTACAGGCGTGCACCACCACCCATGCGCGGCTGGTTTTGTATTCTTAGTAGAGACGGGGTTTCACCATGTTGGTCAGGCCGGTCTTGAAGTCCTGACCTCAAGTGATCCACCCGCCTTAGCCTACCAAAGTGCTGGGATTACAGGCATTAGCCACCGCACCCAGCCGAGAAGATATTATTTTTGACCAAAAAGATTTTATGAAGGAATTGGACCTTGGAGAATGAAGATGAATTCTGGAAATTAGCTGGGGCTGACTTTTTGGCTGGCGTGCACATGACAGGTAGAAGGGTAATAAGGCGAAGAGAGGTTAGAATCTGATTGTGGAGAATTGTGAAAGCAAGACTAACAAATGTATGTTTTTATTGAAATATATATACAACTGCTATTATGAAATTAGTTGCAATCAGCATTTTTTAAATGAAACAGGAAATATCAGCATACATTATTCTTTTTTATTTTTCAAAGACAGGGTCTTGCTCTGTTGCCAAGGCTGCAGTGTAGTGGCACCATCATGGCTCACTGCAGCCTCAGCCTCCCGAGGCTCAGGTGATCCTCCCATCTCAGCCTCCCAAGTAGCTGGGCTAATAGGCACACGCAACTATGCCAGGTAATTTTTGCATATTTCGTTTCACCATGTTGCCCAGGCTGGTCTCAAACTCCTGAGCTCAAGCAGTCTGCCCACCTTGGCCTCCCAAAGTGCTGGGAGTTTGTATTCTGAGCATGAGCCACTGTGCCCAGCCAGAATTCATTCTTCTTCTTCTTTTTTTTTTTTTTTAAACAGAGTTTCACTCTGTTACCCAGGCTGGAGTGCAGTGGTGTGATCTCAGCTCACTGAAACCTCTGCCTCCCAGGTTCAAGCAATTCTGCCTCAGCCTCCTAAGCAGCTGGGATTATAGGCATCTATCACTAACGCCTGGCTAATTTCTTGTGTTTTTAGTAGAGATGGGGTTTCACCATGTTGGCCAGGCTGGTCTTGAACCCCTGACCTCAAGTGATCCACCTGTCTTGGTCCCCCAGAATTCTGGGATTACAGGCATGAGCCACCATTGCCAGCCCAGAATACATTATTCTTTAAAGGATTGTTTGTGAGGCTTTTGTTTCGGAGTGTGTGTGTTACCTATTTCCTGGGGTGTGAGGTAAAAATGTTTCAGTCTCAAAGTTCAAAAGCCTCTGCATTATTGGACTACAGGACACCAATGGAGGATTTTTTTTTTTTTTTTTTTTTTTTTTGAAACGGAGTTTCACTCTTGTTGTCCAGGCTGGAGTGCAATGGTGTAATCTCAGTTTACCGCAACCTCCGCCTCCCGGGTTCAAGCGATTCTCCTGCCTCAGCCTCCCAAGTAGGTGGGATTACAGGCATGTGCTACCACCCCCGGCTAATTTTGTTTTTTTGTTTTTTTGTTTTTAGTAGAGATGGGATTTCTCCATGTTGGTCAGGCTGCTCTCGAACTCCTGGCCTCCGGTGATTCACCTGCCTCGGCCTCCCAAAGTACTGGGATTACAGGTTTGGGCAACCACACCCAGCCCATTGGAAGATTTTAAGTAATAAGCGTTAAAGGCTCACACAAGCCGAGGGGAGCGGGGGAATGGGTTGACATTGTGCCTATTAGGCACAGAGTTTGTTTTGCAAGATGGAGTTATGGAATGGATGGTTGTGCAACAAAGTAAGTGTAACCCCACTACACCGTACACTTAAAAATGGTTAAGATACATTTTGTTATGTGTATTTTACTACAATTTTAAAAAGATAAAACAAATTTTTTAAACTGCTACTTCTGTATGGTGAGATTGGGGGAAATGTTTTTGTTCTCTTTCCCAATTTTTCTGTAATGAATGTGTTTTGCTTTCTTTTCTTTCTTTCTTTTTTTTTTTTTTTTTTTTTTTTTTTTTTTTCATAAAAAGGAAGTTAAAATTATATATATAATCAAAAAAGGAGTTAAAGGCTCAAAGCAAACTTGAAGGTTATTTGGTGGGACAGTATGGAGGAGAGAGTCCAGATGATGGGAGACAAGTTTGGAGGCTACCAAACTATGGTTTTCCAGGAACAATGTAATAAAATCCATGAGAGTGATAGCTGTGGAAATGAAAAGTCATAGAGACTTAGGAAACAATAACCCTAAATACAAGGAGTGGAAAAGATGGGAGGGAAGAGCAAAGAAAACCCTTAAGATTTTTAGCATAGGTCCTAGAATGATAATATAGTATCCGTTAGAGGAAAATACCGTCAGAGGAAAAGCTAATTCTGAGAAGGTAAGATGTATAGGTAAGCTGACTTTGGGTTGTGCCTGAGACTGGCTCAGAAAGGTTAGGGCTAAGGATAAAGTCTGGGTGGTCAGCTGTCTAGAACTGATGATCAAACCCCTGCTGGAACCTCTGTAGGACGAGTTCATTATCAGAAGAGGTTTGAAGAGCTATGAAAATAGAACAGGAAGGTATTATGCTACATGCTAAACCCTGGGTTGTAGGTTACAAAGGGCTATAATTTGAGTCAATAGAAATTAACTTTTGGGGCCTAATCCTAGCACTTTGGGAAGCCAAGGCAGGCAGATCACCTGAGGTCTGGACGTTGAGACCAGCTTGGCCAATAGGGTGAAACCTCATCTCTAGTAAAAATGCAAAAAA